TGGGGGGGGGTGGGGGCCTGCCCCGCCCAGCCAGGTTTCCCGGCCGCTTGTGGCTCCCGGTGCGGGGCCGGTGCGCGGCTCGCTGCATGGGAAGGACGCCTGGGCTGCGGCCGGTGCTGGCTCGTGTTGCTAGCGGCAGGCCGGGGGGGGCGCTCAGCCTTTGGTGGAGGGGAAACGGAGCTCCGGCCTCTGCCGGCGATGGGAACAGGCCTTCTAGAAAATGGGCTGAATTAGAAGAGAGCCAGTCCCGTTTCAGCGAGCGTTTCTGAGGCTCTTCGTGTTGGCGTAACTCAGGTGCAAGGCGTTCGGTGCGGGAGCCCGTGGAGAGGCTGTGTGTCACCCCATCCCTCTGGGGCAACGCTCCGGCAGGTGCTTTGGGACATCCAGCTCTGGAGGGGCAGCTGGGATCCAGGGCTGCGCCCTGGGCGTTGTTTTGGCTGGTGGTGTTAGCTATCACCATCCCTAAAAGCAGGGGTTGTGCTGCGGATGGCCAGGGAGGTCTGTGTGTCCCGCTGTGCAGCAGTAGGGCAATGGAGAAGGGATAGAAGTTGGTGGCACTGAGCTGGTGTGAGCCCGTGGCAAAGCAGGGACCATCAGGTCTCCGGCTGTGCTGGGAGCATCCTCGTCTTCTCCCCAAAACCTTCCCATGGGGCATTAAATAAAAAAAGAATGAGGGAGAGGCACTCTGGTAAAATTTGCAGGGGGGCTGTGAGCCCAAAAGGCCTGGAGGGCTGATCCTGGGGCTACTGGTCGCTTCTGCCAGGCCACCAACTCCTGAAGTCCTCGCAGGTCTTGCCACGGAGGTGACAAGCGGTGCCAGGAGGGTTGAGGCTGGCACTTTGCTTCTAGCTGGGTGGGAGAATCTTTCTCCTGGGTCTTCCGTGAAGTCACCCAGTGGTTTTGGCTACAAATGACCCGAGGGCCCCAGCAAGGGTGGCTTGACTTCACCCCGCTCCTTCCAGGCGTCGGTCCTCTGTTCGAGAGGCTTGGTTGTGCGGCCCCCATCCCTGCGGTGACTCCGGGTGCTGCCTGGAACCAGTGCCTGCTCCCCAAATGGGCAGCGCCCGGCGAGAGGGGCTGCCGTCTCCTCCGGGGCAGACCCTTGTGCCAAGAGCAGCCAGGGACAGCACTTGGCTCCCGTCTCCCACAGACGCTAAAGGGTGTCCGCCCCGGGATGGCCTGTCCCAGTGTCACTTGCTCAGGTGACAGCACAGCTGGGCGCTTTAATCCCTGTGGTCTTCTTCTGTGACTTATCCCGCAGCAATAAAAGGAGTAAGCAGAGCACCAAGTCAGCCTCTTTCTGTGGGCAGAGCTTTGATTGATGGAGCTGGAGGAAGAATTTGTAGTAGTTCAGGGGAAATTGCCTTGATTTTTTTTTTTTCATTCTAAAAGAAGCCGGGGGGGCATTTTAGCGTACAGACGTTGGCACGTGGGACTTGCAGAGCTGCCGAAAGCTGCTTGTCTCTGCAGGCAGTGCCACTACCAGCTGTGCACGTGGCAAACCAGAGCACGGCACAATCCCTTGTTACCCCAATTGTGGTGGGACAGTGCTGGGGGAGCTGACGGGGCTTGGACCTCTCGCTCCATCCAGGATGTGTGACCGCAACGGCGGGCGGCGGCTCCGGCAGTGGCTGATCGAGCAGATTGACAGCGAGCTGTACCCTGGGCTCATCTGGGAGAATGAGGAGAAAACCATGTTCCGCATCCCATGGAAACACGCCGGGAAGCAGGACTACAACCAGGAGGTGGATGCCTCTATTTTCAAGGTAGGGACAGATGGTTAATGCCTCTTCTCCATAGTTCCTGGGCTCGGCGATGCTGTTTTTTTTTTTCCTTGCTGGTGGGAGATGTCCACGCTGCCGGTGGGTTTTGCATCTCTAACCCCTGCAGGAGATGCTTCACCCCACAATTGGTCTCCCGGGCTCTTTTGGGGGTATTCGTTCCTTTTTGCCAAATGCTGGTGCCAGGTTTAGGTTTGTTTTCAGCATGTTTGAATCCTGGTCTGACATGAGAAGGAGCTTGACGTGCTCCTTTTGACCTGCTCTAAACTTCTTATCAGGCTATAAAACGCTGGATTTACCGGAGAGGAAAAAAAAAAGTTTGCAGGAGGAAAGGAAGTTTTGGATTTCGCTGAAGGGGGGGATTTCCAGTTTTGGGGAAAAACTGGAAAATTCCATCCTGAACCAAAAAGGTCAGGCTCTTCCCCAAGAATTTCCTTCCCTCTGCCCCTGCTTCCAAATATCTGTACTGGTGAGTGAGTTCGCTTTCAGGGCAGTGACAGCTGGTTAGTGGCTGGTTCGGGAGCACTGAGTTATGAGGATGGCATTGAATTCAGCCATCTGAAAATATATAAATATCTATAAAATAAATAAATGTGTATTTAAAACAATAATACATACTTTGCAGTCTCCATTATATGTATTTTACAGTCTCCCTTCAGTGGTAAAATGTATTCTCCCACCAAAATCACGAATGATGTTCTGATCTTAAAAAGAAACCAGCTTTCGCTTATTAGTCAGGAGCTGGAAAATGAGGCTTACTTTGATTTTTTTTTTTTGTTTGTTTGTCTTTGTTTTAACTGAGGTGTTACCAGGTCATTAGGAACACCGCTGCTTCAGCAGTGATTCCTCGCATCCCCAGCAGCTCCTGACCTGGGAGGTGCAGAGATGAAGCCGCATATTATGATCTTGACCTCTGCTTTTTAAAACCTGGGTGCTGCAGCCCTTCTTGCGCGCAGGTGCATCGCCGGGGCAGGTGCTGCTGCTCTGCACCCAGATACCCGTCCCCACGTGCGGCAGCTGTGCGTGTGTCCGCAGTCTAGGAGCAGAACGTTGAATATGCAAGGGATGGTTGAGAGGGTGCACGGGGCAGAGAGGTGGGGAGAGCAAAATGCTCTCTGCAGCCCCAGCTCCTTTGCCCCAGGGGTTGAGGGGATTTGCAGAGCTCACGGGGAGGATTTTTTTTCTTGCTTTGTTTTAGGCCTGGGCTGTTTTCAAAGGCAAGTTCAAAGAAGGCGACAAAGCGGAGCCGGCCACTTGGAAGACACGGTTGCGCTGCGCCTTGAACAAGAGCCCTGACTTCGAGGAGGTGACGGACAGGTCCCAGCTGGACATCTCTGAGCCCTACAAGGTCTACAGGATCGTGCCGGAGGAGGAACAGAAATGTGAGTGCCCCAATAAGGGACCGACCCCCAGGTGCAGGTCGGTCCTGCGAGTAACCGCAGGCTTGTGCTGCTGACCTACATCTGAGCGGAGCTTCCTGGCCAGACGCCGCTCTTGTGCCGTGATGCTTTGCTTGTCCTGCTTTGCAGAAGGTGTCCCCTGTGTCACTGTGGTGGCAGGGAGGCGGGGAGGAAGGCCAAGCTTTTTGTCTACCCCCGTAGACAGCTGCTTAGGGGATAACTGCAGCATTGCATGACCTTCAATCCCATGAGGATGTTGTAGGGGCCAATCCAAATTCCTTCCCCCCTTGGGGGGGTACTTGAGCCCCAACCCTATGCCCTCCCAACGCCTGCCCTGGGCAGATGGCAGGGAGCTGCAAAAAAAATCCCTTCTCTTTTGCCAGCAGTGATTAGAGTAGCAGTAATTTCGCAGAGAGCAGTTGCTGCTGTGATGTCCGGTGCGGCGCAGGTCGTGCTAAGTATATCTCTATTTGTGGTTAGGAGTGTGTGTGCTTTTTCTTTTTTTTTTTTTAAAGTAAAAAAACTTGCGGGGCAAAAAAAAATATCTCGCTGTCAGGAAATCTGCCTTTAGCATCTCGGTCTCCTCCAGCCGTGTTCACACGGGGGGCGCGCCGCCGCTATGCAAATGGCACTGCAGGTTCCCACCGGTAGCACGACTTCACTCGGGGTGGCTGGCAGAAAAAGGAGAAGCAGCAGCAGCCCCGGTCTCTCGGGTGCTCAGAAAAAACAAACCCAACCTTCTGCTCTAGCTCGGTCTCTGCTACCGGCCGGATTTTTGATTTGCCTTGTTGCTGGTTGCCGTGCGCTGGGGCAATGGGTTGCAAACTGGTCTTTGGTCTTGAAAAGCAGCTCTGGGTGGAGCTGGAGGGGGCTGTGAGCCCCTCCGAGGTGCTGTTACACGGCTCCGCTGCGCTGTGGTTCTCGGTTTCATAACTTTCACGGGGTGAAGGGTTTCTAAAACCCAGCGGCGAGGTGAGCCGTGGCAGTGGGGTGGGTGTGCTCGCTGCATCCCGGCCTCTCCTTCCAGGCAAAGCGGGCATTGCCAACGGGAGCAGCCTGAATGACGTCACGGAGATGGACTGCAGTTCCTCTGCAATCGATGACCTCATTAAAGAGGTAAGCCCTCACAGCGGCTGCAGGTCGCCTTTGGCTGGAGGTGGACGGACGGCGGGCAGTTGCCCGATAAAGCGTTGCCTTTCTAAAATTCAATCTGCAAAGGTTTGGGAATCCGCCTGGCGAGTGACGCCGGGTTTTGCAGCTCATTCATGTGAGCCAGCGCCGGGACATGGTTGCTGATGAATGGCTCGCGCTTTCGATTTGCATCTGGGCGGGCGAGACCTTTGCTGGGGGATGGAGGCTGTTTTGCAGCTCTGTTCCCCTTCTTGGCTGTGTCACCTTGGGCTGCTTCTGCTCAGTAGCTCTTGAGGGTGTTATTTGAGTGTACGGCCTGGGGAATGCCAAACTTGCTCTTTCTAACCAAAAAAGTTCATTGGCATCCTGTTGGCATTGCCATTTGGACCCTCTCCGAGCACTGCAAGTGTCTCTGTGCAAGGGCAGTGGCTGCCCAAGGCATCAAACCCGCTCTGATCTCCACGTGTGGTCTCGCACAGCCCGCCTGTGTAGATGAATACCTGGGGATCATCAAGAGAAGCCCCTCACCCCCCCAGGAGACCTGCAGAAACACCCTGATACCCGACTGGTGGGTGCAGCAGCACAGCCCCGGTAAGTAGCCGATGGTATGTGCAGTGTTTAACGGGACCAAGCTTTTTGTCCAGGGCAGAAAAAACTGTATAGCAATGGATAATGGACAACAGTTGTATTTTATCTTCCTTAATTAGTACTTTAAGCATTCTTAATATGACAACTGTGGTTGGCAGCAGGCACCCAAGAGTGTGCATTGCACAAGGTTAAATCCACCTGGGAGTATTTGCTGGCACCTCCTGTGTGGGAGCTGGGAAGCCTGGTGTGCCTGGGGGAGAAAACTGAGGGGGCTGGTGGGGAGAGCGGGAGATCGGGGTTTGGGAGCTGGGCACGCCGGCACAACTCGGCTTTCTCTGCCCACAGCGTTGCCCCTGATGAATGGATACTCCAGCTACGAGCAGCATCATTCGGGTAAGGCAGCTCCCCTGCTTGGTTGTGGACTGTGGCCATCAAAAGCCTCTCTGGGGCTCGGCCTCGTGTGTGTGGTGGCAGAAGGTGGCTTCGACTCTGCTCCCTGCCTTGGAGGGAGGCTTTGCTCTGGGTTTGGGAGGTCCCGAGCCCTCCTGAGTATCCGCAGGGTTTGCATACTGAGCAGGGACGCATCCTGCCTGTTGTCCTGTGGCCGCGGTCCTGGCACAGGGGGCTGCCCCGGGATGCTGGGATCAGCCGTGCCTTTAGTTGTGGGGAGATCTGCCCGCAGCAAGGGAAGTGTGGAGCAAAGGCAGGAGGAAGGGGCTCAGTATTGGGAGCTCCCACTTGCTGCTCAGCGCTGCTACCAGGCTGAGTGCTGGAGATGTCCTCTAGCAAGGAGGAGGTCTCCTCCACCAAGTGAGACTTGCTCCCAGGAAATTTGCTACTCTCGCAGAGTTTGGGCATCGCGGTGAAGAGCAGGCAGGGTTTGTCTTCTCCTGATGGGTGGTGTGTGTGCCCATCCCCTCCCAGGTTACTCCCAGATGGTGATCAGCTTCTACTACAGCGGGAGGCTGGTGGGCCACATCACTACCTCGTGCAGCGAGGGCTGCCGGATCTCACTCAGCCAGCCCTCCAGCCACGGCGAGAAGCTGTATGCCCCAGATGCCCTGGAGCACGTGCAGTTCCCCTCGGCCGACGCCATCCAGAATGACCGCCACAAGCAGATCACCAGGAAGCTCTTTGGGCACCTGGAGAGGGGTGTCCTGCTGCACAGCAACAAGCAGGGCATCTTCATCAAGAGGCTGTGCCAGGGCAGGGTCTTCTGGAGCGGGAACACCATGATGTACAAGGACAGGCCCAACAAACTGGACCGGGATGAGGTGATGAAGATATTTGACACCAACTTGTTCTTCAGAGGTTTGTAGGAGCGTTTCCCGCTTTCTCTTCTTCCACTTGGTGGGGTGGAAAGGGTGGAGCCCTTGGCCTTGGAGCACTTTGGAGTCATCACTGTCCATCACCGATGGGTTACCCAAGTGCTCTGGATGAGTAGCTGATGGTACCGGATCTAGGAAGGAATAACCTGGTGTCTTGTGTCACTAGCAAACTCCTCCTGGTTGGAGGCTTTGCGCAGAAAAGGTGGCTTCTCTTGAGCCCACAGCTTTCTTCCATGGCAGGGTGCTTGGTCTTGAAGCTGTGTAGCAAAGGCTGGCAGCTTGTGGCAGGCAGCTTCCAACTCTCCTTGCAGAGCTGCAGCAGTTTTACAACAACCAGGGCCGCCTCCCAGACAGCAGAGTCATGCTGTGCTTTGGAGAGGAGTTCCCGGACGCCGTGCCCCTGCGGTGTAAGCTCATCCTTGTCCAGGTACGGAGGGCTGCCCTTTGGATATCTGCTGCTGAATTTCCCCCCCCTTGTCTGGACCATATTGCCCTTTTTCTCCTGCAAGCAGGGCTCTAGCTTCAACCCCTGGAGCCACAGACCTTTGGGGTGCCTAAATTGGTCGGGTGGCAGGTGTGGCATGAGTATCGGCTTATCTACAGCCTCCTGAGAGGTGCTTGGGCTGTTGCTTGTCAGACTCCTTGATCTGGGTAGACTCTGTTTGCAAACAAAGCTCCCAACCGGCAAAAGCTTTTCTAAACCGCTAGGAAATCTGTTCCCTTCCTCCTGTTCCTGCCTCTTGGCACTGGGTCCTCTGCGCTCTCCTGTGGGAAATGGGGGAATAAATACCTGGAATGGTTGAGTTAAGGGACAGCCTCAAGCCAAGCAGCCAACAGATGCGGTGAACAACCGTGGTGGACAGCAGCGGGGCTGGGGAGCCCTTGGGAGGGTGAAGGAGGGGGTGGGATGAGAGGGGCAGTCCCCAAGGCTCTGGCCAGAAACTTCTCCCTAGAGAAGCTGAAGCAATTCTGGGATCTCAAAGCCTTGGGGCAACGCGTTGGGTCCAGGCTCCAGAAACACCCTGTGTGGGACCCCCTTGGGCCAACAAGGCTGCAGCAGTAGGGACATGGCATGGAGGGTACAGGGAGGGTGTTGCATCCACCCTTGAGCAAGCAGAGACCCACTAAGTCTGTGAGGTCCTGGAGGGGATTTCACAGTTCGGAGACCAGTCCTATGCCTCCCTGCACAACTTTCTGACCTGGTCACCTCTTCTTGCCTTGGGTGCCTGCACCAGAGGATCACTCCGCATGTGCTGGGATGTCCCCCAGCCTGTCCTCATCTCCCTAATAGCTCTGCTGGGAGAGGAGCTCTTGTGACTGCTCCTTTTCTCCTAGAGGTGCTTTGCCAAGGTGGCTTGTGGAGTTGGACCTGTTGGCCTGGCCGGACCTGGCCACCTGGGTCTGTTGGGCAGAACTGCTCTGCTGTGTCTCTCCCACCCCGTACCCTGCTGCCTGGGCTAGTGGGGGCGGATGGCAGCAGTGGGAGATGCCCAAAGAGGTTCCTCTTCATTCAGTGTCTTCATGACTTTTCTTTTTGCGTAGGTGGAGCAGCTGTGTGTCAGGCAGGTGGCGGAGGAGGCTGGGAAGACCTGCAGCAGCAGCCCCATGCTCCCCATAGCTGATGAGACGCAGCATGACCAGGTGTACAGGATCTTCCAGGACATCTGTGCGATGCACCAGCGGCCGCTCTTCAGAGAAAACCAACAGATTGCCGTCTGAGCCTCCTTCTCCGCAGACATAGCGTGGTGGTTTGGGTTGATCTAGACCCAGTTTGGTCCCATTAGTGCCTAAATTCCCATTTTTGGAAAGTTGGTTTTTGTTCTTTGCTGTTTCCAGTCCAGAGTCTGTATAAATACAGCGGTAAAAATTGCCACGAGAAAGTAGGTTGGATGCTCAGTGTCTGTCCCGCAGACGCTTTACTGATTAAAAATGACTTTTGTACCAAGCAGGGTAGTCCTGGTACCCTTGTCTATAGCTAATGGCAGGGGGAGGAGGCAGCGTCTGAGCTGTGCAGGAAGGTCAGGGCTGGGAGTGCTTTGTGTTGCCTTTGTTAATGGCCAGTCAAGCAGAACCGAAAATCAACAGCTATAACGACCTGCCCCAGCCGTCTGCAACTCGGACCTTGCTGAGAATAGCGATTTGGTAGGAGG